CATACTTAAAGTAATGAAAGAGAATAACCTACAACCTAGATTACTCTACCCAGCAAGGATCTCATTCAGATATGAAGGAGAACTCAAAAGCTTTACAGACAAGCAAAAGCTGAGAGAATTCAGCACCACCAAACCAGCTCTTCAACAAATACTAAAGGATCTTCTCTAGACAGGAAACACAGAAAGGTGGTATAAACGTGAACCCCAAACAACAAAATAAATGGCAACGGGACCATACCTATCAATAATTACCTCAAATGTAAATGGGTTGAATGCCCCAACCAAAAGACAAAGGCTGGCTGAATGGATACAAAAGCAAGACCCCTATATATGCTGTCTACAAGAGACCCACCTCAAAGCAAGGGATACATACAGACTAAAAGTGAAGGGCTGGAAAAAAATATTCCATGCAAACGGAGACCAAAAGAAAGCAGGAGTCACAATACTCATATCAGATAAAATAGACTTTCAAATAAAGGCTGTGAAAAGAGACAAAGATGGACACTACATAATGATCAAAGGATCAATCCAAGAAGAAGATATAACAATTATAAATATATATGCACCCAACATAGGAGCACCGCAATATGTAAGGCAAACGCTAACGAGTATGAAAGAGGAAATTAATAGTAACACAATAATAGTAGGAGACTTTAATACCCCACTCACAACTATGGATAGATCAACTAAACAGAAAATGAACAAGGAAACACAAACTTTAACAGACACAATGGACCAGCTAGACCTAATTGACATCTATAGGACGTTTCACCCCAAAACAATCAACTTCACCTTTTTCTCAAGTGCACACGGAACCTTCTCCAGAAGAGATCACATCCTGGGCCATAAATCTAGTCTTGGTAAATTCAAAAAGATTGGAATCATTCCAGTCATCTTTTCTGACCACAGTGCAGTAAGATTAGATCTCAATTACAGGAAAAAAATTATTAAAAATTCAAACATATGGAGGCTAAACAACACGCTTCTGAATAACCAACAAATCATAGAAGAAATCAAAAAAGAAATCAAAATATGCATAGAAATGAATGAAAATGAAAACACAACAACCCAAAACCTATGGGACACTGTAAAAGCAGTGCTAAGGGGCAGATTCATAGCATTACAGGCCTACCTCAAGAAACAAGAAAAAAGTCAAATAAATAACCTAACTCTACACCTAAAGCAACTAGAGGAGGAAGAAATGAAGGACCCCAGGGTTAGTAGAAGGAAAGAAATCTTAAAAATGAGGGCAGAAATAAATGCAAAAGAAACTAAAGAGACCATAGCAAAAATCAACAAAGCTAAAAGCTGGTTTTTTGAAAAAATAAACAAAATTGACAAACCATTAGCAAGACTCATTAAGAAACAAAGGGAGAAGAACCAAATTAACAAAATTAGAAACAAAAATGGAGAGATCACAACAGACAACACTGAAATACAAAGGATGAAAAGAGACTACTACCAGCAGCTCTATGCCAATAAAATGGACAACTTGGAAGAAATGGACAAGTTCTTAGAGAAGTATAACTTTCCAAAACTGAACCAGGAAGAAATAGAAGATCTTAACAAAACCATCACAAGCAAGGAAATTGAAACTGTAATCAGAAATCTTCCAGCAAACAAAAGCCCAGGACCAGATGGCTTCACAGATGAATTCTACCAAAAATTTAGAAAACAGCTAACACCTATCTTACACAAACTCTTCCAGAAAATTTAAAAATTACCCTCAGAAGAGGGTAAACTTCCAAACTCATTCTATGAGGCCACCATCACCCTAATTCCAAAACCAGACAAAGATGCCACAAAAAAAGAAAACTACAGGCCAATATCACTGATGAACATAGATGCAAAAATCCTTAACAAAATTCTAGCAAACAGAATCCAACAACATATTAAAAAAATCATACATCATGACCAAGTGGGCTTTATCCCAGGAATGCAAGGATTCTTTAATATCCGCAAATCAATCAATGTAATACACCACATTAACAAATTGAAAGATAAAAACCATATGATTATCTCAATAGGTGCAGAAAAAGCCTTTGACAAAATTCAACATCCATTTATGATTAAAACTCTCCAGAAAGCAGGAATAGAAGGAACATACCTCAACATAATAAAAGCTATATATGACAAACCCACAGCAAGCATCACCCTCAATGGTGAAAAATTGAAAGCATTTCCCCTGAAATCAGGAACAAGACAAGGGTGCCCACTCTCACCACTACTATTCAACATAGTTTTGGAAGTTTTGGCCACAGCAATCAGGGCAGAAAAAGAAGTAAAAGGAATCCAGATAGGAAAAGAAAAAGTGAAACGCTCTCTGTTTGCAGATGACATCCTCTACATAGAAAACCCTAAAGACTCTACCAGAAAATTACTAGAGCTAATCAACGAATACAGTAAAGTTGCAGGATATAAAATTAACACACAGAAATCTCTTGCATTCCTATACACTAACAATGAGAAAACAGAAAGAGAAATTAAGGAAACAATACCATTCACCATTGCAACAAAAAGAATAAAATACTTAGGAGTATATCTACCTAAAGAAACAAAAGACCTATACATAGAAAACTATAAAACACTGATGAAAGAAATCAAAGAGGACACAAACAGATGGAGAAATATACCCTGTTCATGGATTGGAAGAATCAATATTGTCAAAATGGCTATACTACCCAAAGCAATCTATAGATTCAATGCAATCCCTATCAAACTACCAACGGTATTTTTCACAGAACTAGAACAAATAATTTCACAATTTGTATGGAAATACAAAAAACCTCGAATAGCCAAAGTAATCCTGAGAAAGAAGAATGGAACTGGAGGAATCAATCTGCCTGACTTCAGACTATACTACAAAGCCACAGTCATCAAGACAGTATGGTACTGGCACAAAGACAGAAATACAGATCAATGGAACAGAATAGAAAGCCCAGAGATAAATCCATGAGCCTATGGACACCTTATCTTCGACAAAGGAGGCAAGGATATACAATGGAAAAAAGACAACCTCTTTAACAAGTGGTGCTGGGAAAACTGGTCAACCACCTGTAAAAGAATGAAACTAGAACACTTTCTAACACCATACACAAAAATAAACTCAAAATGGATTAAAGATCTAAATGTAAGACCAGAAACTATAAAACTCCTAGAGGAGAACATAGGCAAAACACTCTCTGACATAAATCACAGCAGGATCCTCTATGACCCACATCCCAGAATTTTAGAAATAAAAGCAAAAATAAACAAATGGGACCTAATGAAACTTAAAAGCTTTTGCACAACAAAGGAAACTATAAGCAAGGTGAAAAGACAGCCCTCAGATTGGGAGAAAATAATAGCAAACGAAGCAACAGACAAAGGATTAATCTCAAAAATATACAAGCAACTCCTCCAGCTCAACTCCAGAAAAATAAATGACCCAATCAAAAAATGGGCCAAAGAACTGAACAGACATTTCTCCAAGGAAGACATACAGATGGCTAACAAACACATGAAAAGATGCTCAACATCACTCATTATCAGAGAAATGCAAATCAAAACTACAATGAGCTACCATTACACGCCAGTCAGGATGGCTGCTATCCAAAAGTCTACAAGCAATAAATGCTGGAGAGGGTGTGGAGAAAAGGGAACCCTCTTCCACTGTTGGTAGGAATGCAAATTAGTACAGCCACTATGGAAAACAAGTGTGGAGATTTCTTGAAAAGCTGAAATAGAACTGCCATATGACCCAGCAATCCCACTTCTGGGCATACACACTGAGGAAACCAGATCTGAAAGAGACACGTGCACCCCAATGTTCATCGCAGCACTGTTTATAATAGCCAGGACATGGAAGCAGCCTATATGCCCATCAGCAGACGAATGGATGAGGAAGCTGTGGTACATATACACCATGGAATATTACTCAGCCATTAAAAAGAATTCATTTGAATCAGTTCTAATGAGATGGATGAAACTGGAGCCCATTATACAGAGCGAAGTAAGCCAGAAAGATAAAGACCATTACAGTATACTAACACATATATATGGAATTTAGAAAGATGGTAACAATAACCCTATATGCAAAACAGAAAAAGAGACTCCGATGTATAGAACAGACTTGTGGACTCTGGGAGAAGGCGAGGGTGGGATGTTTCAAGAGAACAGCATCGAAACATGTATATTATCTAGGGTGAAACAGATCACCAGCCCAGGTTGGGTGCATGAGACAAGTGCTCTGGCCTGGTGCACTGGGAAGACCCAGAGGGATCGGGTGGAGAGGGAGGTGGGAGGGGGGACCGGGATGGGGAATACATGTAAATCCATGGGTAATTCATTTCAATGTATGACAAAAACCACTGCAATGATGTAAAGTAATTAGCCTCCAACTAATAAAAATAAATGGAAAAAAATAAATAAAAATAAAAATGATTAAAAAAAAAAAATAAAATAAAATCAGGGCCCTTGAATCCAAAGGGCCTATGCTGTGCTACGTTGCTTCAGTTGTGTCCAACTCTATTGTGACCCTATTGTGAGCCCACCAGGCTCCTCTGTCCCTGGGCTTCTTCAGACAAGATTCCTGGACTGGATTGCCATGCCCTCCTCCAGGGGATCTTCCCAGCCCAGGGACTGAACCCATGTCTCTTATGTCTTGTGCATTGACAGGAGGGTTCTTTACCACTAGCACCACCTGGAAAACCCCCAAAGGGCCTATAGACAGAAGCTAAAAGCAGGCTACTGGAATGTTGTGTATATTCTAGTAAAGGTCTGATAAATGTCTGAACAAGTAGGAATGGAGAAAACCAGATGCTATAGAGGAGAGATAGTTCTTAGGATCTTTGTGGGGAATCAAAGGAAAGAGTGGAAGCAACCACTTTGAGCCTGGGGGACTAGGAGTATGATAACACCACTGGCAGAAATCAAAGGCCAGGTTGGAATAAAAGGAGGTTGGTTTGAGATAGATGGTAGTACTGCTGCAGTGCTCTATCAGGAAACCATACACAACTCACCTTCATGTCCTCAAAATCTGTTATCCCCATCTGAGGGAGGTTTGAGCAGTTTACATGTATGAGTTTTCGGCCACTGATGAAGTTTGTGGTAAAACACTCCTGTCAGTACAATGAGAACATCACTCAAAAGATGGATGGCAAATACAGGAAGAAAAAGCAAGAAAGAGAAAGGGAGGAGGGAAGGAAGAAAAGAGGCAAGGAGGGAGGAATAAACAAATCATGTTTGTCGCTAGTGCTATACTGAGAAGAAATAATTTTAATACTCCTAATAATCCTACATATTTTACACTCTTGATTAAATTTCATACTGCTGCTTATTATTTTTTTTGGTATGATACAACCAGTGCTTCTTTCTTACCTGAACTACATTTTTAAGTACAGAAGTACCAAAGATTTCAGATCTTATGTTGTTTGTAGTAGCGTAAGAACATAGTTGGCAGTGCAATAAGAGGATTCACTCCATTTTAAAAAGAAAACTAGTCTTGGTTAATTGGCTATAAAAATTAGTACGGGTGGGTGATCACAATACCATATAATACATTTGGGGTAGACACTAAGACTAACAATACAAGTTCAAGTTAAGGGCGCTTCTAATAAAAACAAAGTACCAAAAAGTCTACCTCAAGGACTTCCCTGGTAGTCCATCAAGTGGTTGGTAGTGGGAGATGGATGCAGGTTCCATCCCTGGTCAGGGAGTTGGGATCTCACATGCCACGGAGCAGCTAACAAGCTCATGAGCTGCAACGAAGACCCAGTGCAGCTAAAAAATAATTTTTTTTTAAGCTTAAAAAAAAACCCAAACCAAAAAAATCTACCACGGATGAAATCTTTTTAGAAATACAGATTTCTATGAAAAGAAGCCTACATAAATTAGTCTTTATTCAAGGATTGTAGAAAAGTATAATCACCGTGATAACAGGAAAAACAAATGTGAGCTTGCCCTCATCTCCCAATATACAAATATATGTATATATCAGTGGAAAGGCCAAAATTAAAATCCAAGTTACCTCTAGCATCGTCCATGCCTGTCCTATACTTCTTCCAGTGAAGATACAAAATCTCAGATAAGGATAGAGGAATAAGAAGTAAAGGAATGAAAGTATGTAACACACACACACAAATGTTATTTTTGTGTACCTTGTATTGAGGGAAGCCTAGCTGGCAAATCCACTTGGCAACTTTTTCTGGGCTCCATTGAAGATACTCAAATTGTAGATCAGAATTTTTTTCTGGCTGGGTGTCTCTATCTTTATGTACCAGTTTCATTGACTCTAGGGACAGATCTTGCTTTTCACCAGAGGACTCTTTTAAATCCCTCTGAGACTCAGAGAAAAAGGAGAATTCATAATTGGTATCAGAAAGCTGGAACAGATTTTGGAGTTCTTTAGAAAACTCATAATCTGTATTCACTGAGTCTACTTCACTTATTGGAAGAGGCTCTAATACATAGTCTTTTGAAACTTTAGTTTCTTTTATTAACAACTTTCCTATTGGATAGTCAGAGTACTCAGGCTCATCCCTGTCAACAGAATGTTTAAATTTGATTGCTTCTAGCCTATCTTCCTTGGCAAATTCTACAGGTGTCTCTCTTCTAAGTAGTTGTCTGGTTTTATCCAATAACTCTAAATTTATCTCCCTAGTTGGCTCTGTTTGTGTCTTCTCTTGCACCTCTGGTTTGATCTTCTGTGGTGGCACTTGACCTGTTTCTTCAGTTTTCTCTGGTTCTTTCTTTAAAAACTCTGCTTTAGTTTGTTCTGGGGGCTCTGGACCTTTCTTCTCAGTTGACTTTCTTAGTGTCTCCTCTGATCTGAACTTCCGTGATGGTGTTACATCTGTCTCCTCGGTTGACTTTTTCTTCTTATCTTTTTGATCTGCTGGTTTGGTGTACTCTGGTGGCTCTAGAACTCTCTCTGCAGTTGACTTACTTTGTGTCTCCTGAATTTCCGGTGTGGTCTTTCCTGATGGCTCTGTAACTGTTTCCTCAATTGGTTTTCTTGATTTTTCCTCAGAAAACTCTGATTCGATCACTCTAGTCTCTGGAGTTTTTTCTTGTGTTTCCTCAGTAGCCATACTTGGTTTCTCTTCTGGAAACTCTGGTTTGGCCTGCTCAGGTGACTCTGTCCTTTTCTCTGTAGGTGACTTACTTTGTATTTCCTCTGGATTCTCTGATGTGGTCACCTTTGGTGGCTGTTGATCTGCCTCTTCAATTGATTTTCTTGGTTTCTTACCTGGAGGTTCTGGTTTGGTTGGCTCTGTAGATTCTAAACCTGTCTTTTCATATTGCTCTCTGAGTGGCTCCTCTGGAACCTCTGGTTTGCTCTCTTCTATGGGTACATCCTCAGGAACATCCGGTTTGGCTTCCTCCTCTGGTTCCTCATGCTTTCTGTCCACAGGGATTTGCAATTCCTTGTAAAGCTCTCTTTCTATCTGTCCGAAAGCCTCTGATTTTACCTCTAAGGGAATCCCTAGCTCAACCTCCCTGAAAAGGTCTATCCTGAACTTGTGGGGAACCTCTTCCTCGGACGTCCAGGTTGGTTTTAGGTGCGGAGGCACATCTTTAGCACTCTCTGGTGTCTTATCTTTGAAGGCCTCTTCCTCTGTCTCTGGCTGTGGATCTTGGTCAATCTCTACAGGAATCTCTGGGCCTGCCTCTGCCACGCTGCCTGGTTCGATGTCTTCGGTCACCTGAAGAAACTGAAGTTTCGGTCTCTCAGTCTTCAGGTTTTCATTTTCCTCAGAGGGGGAATCGTAACCCTCTGGGACTTCAGCCATGACGCAGATGAGCCGTCGCGCCCAGGCCGCCTAGCAACTCCAACTTCCGATAGCGTCTCTATGGAGACCACGACTTCCGGCCAGGTCTCAAGGACTCTTCCCCTCCCCGGGTTTTGTTTGTTCTTTCAAGCACTGACTAAAAATCTGCATGGCTGACTGAACTGAACCCCCCTCCCCCCCGAGCCCGAGTCGCCAGCCTCAGCTAACCAGAGCTCCCGCGAGCGCGCGGGGGCCGGCGCGCTGCCCCTTCCGGCCCGGGGGCTCCGCTCGCTCTTCGCAGCGGAGCTCGGCCTTCGGCTGTTTCCGGAGCTCCCGGCGGCGGGCGGCAGAGGCGCTGCGGGCGCTGGCTGCAGATGTCGGACCCGCGGGCGGCTGAGGGGCCGGGCGTCTGGAGCCCCGCAGCCCGCCGAGGGCCGGCGCACGGCCTCGGGGACGGCCCGGGAGTGGAGGGGAGCCAGGCGGCCGCCTCAGGTACGCAAGGCCGGGCGCCGGCGGGTGCGTTTCGCCGGCTTCGGGGCCCGGCGCTTTGGCGCGAGGCTCGGGTGAGCTCCGTCCCGCGATGCCTGGAGGAGCGGACCGGCCTGGGGGGAGCCCCTTCGCGCGCGGAGCCCCCGCCTCGGCTCCTTCCCGGGAAGCGATCCTCCTGTTCCCAGCATCCCCCATCCCGGCCGCTGCCACCCTCCGGGCTTGCTCTTTGCTCGAGATTATTTTCTACTTCTGTTTTCGAAATGCCTTAGTTCCTGCCCGCTTCCTTTCTTAGATCAGCCCCGATGGTAGTGACCGAGCTGCTGTGTCCCCGGCGGCCCTTCAGCCTTCAGCACACGCCCGCCCATCACTCTTTGGCAGCTGACCCCCGACCCCGCCGCCCCGGCTGCCCCCGGGTTTCTGGCTCCCCGTCCTGATCCTCACCTCTGTCTCAGGTCTTGCACGCGCCTCTCCGCCCCGCATCCGAAGAGGCAGCCTCGCCTTCATCTGTCCAGAATCCCGTTTGCTCAAGCCTCCTTCCTCCCGCCACACCCTGCACCTAGGCCCCCCGCACCTCACCTCTCATCCTTTTCTCTCCATCAAGAGTGGGCGAGATGAAAAGCAGAGTTGGGAGTTATGTAGGCTCTGGGGTCTCTTTGAATGAACATAGCGGCCAAGGCAGGAAATAGCGGCCAAGTAGGAACGTTGGCGACCTCCCTTATTCTCCAGGACCCTCTTCTTCTTGTTCAGGAGACTTATCTCGTTTCTACCCACGCTAATTTTCTCTCTGTGGACTGCTACACTGTCAGTGTTCGAAGGCGAAAGTGTCCCGCGATTGCACTTTTACCTTTCACGTCTCCTTATCTCTACACGGAATGCAACTGAAAAGATGCGCCTTTGAAATACAAAAGTGTAGGTGGGGAGAGAACTGGTCTCCCCAAGTAGCAAGTATGAATTAACTTTCCAGTTCTGAAATTAAAATCGACCCCATATAGTACAGGTGGTGCCATAGTGCCTGGGTTGGAGGCTGAATCTTTCATTTACTTGGGCAAGTTACTTTTCTATTTGTTTCCTGCTCTATAAACTGAGGGCTCTGTAGTACCTGCCTGAGGGACTGCTGGGAGGATTGCATAGACCAGTGGGTATGAGGCACTTGGTGCCTAGCCCAGGGTATGCACAATTACTGGTGTTACCCATTACTGTGAGAATAAGGTCTGTTTTTGCTCACTGAAACTCCACCTGCGGTCAGAGGTGTTCTTGAATGTGTAGCTTCCAGCGTGGTGACTTTCCTTGTCTTTTTCTTCAGTCCTAAATAGCTCCCCTTTCCTAATGGGCCAAAGTACTTGGGGGACACACACACACACACACACACACACACCCCGCTTTGAATCACACACACACACACCCCGCTTTGAATCACACACACACACACACACCCCGCTTTGAATCACACACACACACACACCCCGCTTTGAATCACACACACACACACACACCCCGCTTTGAATCACCCAGCTTTTTCCTTTTCCTGTGACTTTATGTTCTCTTACTTTAAAAAGTTTAACAATTTTTGGCTTTTTCCTTCTTACGAACACTGATGCTTTATAGTAAATCAGAAATTTTAAGCCTACTTTCTGAAAGATTGAGCAAATGAACACTCAGGATGTCTCATTAACATCTGTTCCTTGCATCTATCAATATTTATAAGTTAAGGCCTTTTTTTTTAACTTCCTCTTTAGATCTGTGTGGCAAATATACCCAAGCATTTTAAATATAAAGGCCTTAAGAACAGTCCAGAAATATGTTGGAGGATAGTGGGTTTGTCTCTGAGTGTCTCTCTCCCCCGCCCACCCCTTGTAATTGGTTCCTGCATTCACATTTTCCTCCCAGGACTTGATAGAAATACTTATGATTACTTCCTTCCTCTTGCCCTCAGAAAGCAGGGTGAGTGTTGTTTTCTTTTATGTTGTGTAGGGATTTGTTATTGTGGTGCAGAACAACCTCTTCCCCTTGAGGTAACATTTGTTGCTAATAAAATAGCTAATAAAATAATAGTAATGAGAGCTTACACTAATTGAATGCTTACTCTCTGCCAGAATGTGGAAAAAGACTTCCTTGTATTATCTGACTTAATCCTGTCAACAGACATTTCCTCCCCATTTTACAGCGCAAGCTACAGCTGAGAGAGGTTAACTTACTTGCCCAAGTTAGGTGTGGAGTTTTAACCATCTGTATGAAATTATTACTTTGTTTTGATGAAGTTCCCAATAGTTTATTTATTTTTTGGCCATTAATCAAGCATTGATATTCTCGGGCAGGTAATGGTCTTTGCCATCAGGGGTTTTTAGTTTGGTAAGATGAGAGTGCCCAGGAAGAAAAATCAACAATTGAAAACTTCATATAATTGGGTGTCTTTTATTGCAGTTATTTATGTGTGTACCCCCAGGAAGTCAACTGGAGGATGGAGATAGAGTCTGTCTTGTCTGTTTCTCTCCTGGAGCCCTTGATGTTGTGTCCTAGGTTTTCTGGAAATGCTTGCCAGATTGTGAGACGAAGTCTCAACATACATAGAGATTTGAAGGAGCATCTAGTGCCTATCAAGAATATTCTTTAGGTTAAAGTAGTGGTTCTCAACCAGGAGAGGTTTTGCCTCTCCTAGGGGACATTTTGATTGTCACTTGGGTTGAGGAGGAGAGGAAGCACCATTATTGAGATACTGAGACTCAGAAACTTCCCTCCATGTAAAGGAAAGAAGTAAAATATTAGTTGCTCAGTCATGTCCAACTCTCTGCGACCCCATGAACTATAGCCCATGAGGCTCCTCTGTCTGTGGAATGTTCTAGGCAAGAATACTGGAGTGGGTTGCCATTCCACTCTCCAGGGGATCTTTCCAACCCAGGTGTCAGAACTTGGGCCTCCTGCTTTGCAGGCAGATTCTTTACTGGGTGAGCCACCGGGTAAACATCCTTCAATGTACAGGACTGCCCCACCACAGAGAATTATCTGGCCCCAGGTGTCAGTAGTGCTGCTATCAAGAAATCTTGAATTAGAGTTAAGCTGGGTTTCCAAAGCAGTGTGGACAGCTTGCATTTGCCTTAGCTCAGAGATGTGTAGGCTTGGGAGTAAACTCAACTCAAAAGCTGCTTCAAATCAGGAGTTTGATTGAATCCTTGTGCCACCTTCCTCTGGAAAATGATCCAATAAATAAGCAATAGAGTAACCAATAGAGACCTAAAAATGAAATCAAGAGGTTTCTGTCATCCTTTCTTAGAGGGAAAAGTGCAGTAAGAAATGAGATTGGACATGCAGTTGTTATTGAATTAAGGGTTTAGATGTCTCCGTGTGTCTTATTCTTTCAAAGCAGGAATTTATAATTATCCAGAATAACTGTGACTTGTTTTTTAAAAGTATTCTCGATAGAGGCTACCTTTTCAGGGTCTTCATATTTGTCAGCTGAGGTTTTGGTTATGAAGTAAGAAAAATGTTGATGTTCTTCTGAACTAAACTCTCCAGTGGTCATAGTGTTCTTGTTGCTTTATGAACTCTAATTATTTTTAATAGTCTTTTATTTGGGGCACCTGGGTCCTTCAATTCCTAAGAGGAGAGAGTGAGCACTCTTTATAGCGTGAAACTCTGAGGCATACTTTACATCATGTAAGAATAGGTCTTTTCATTCTTTCATGGTTTGTTTGTTTGCTTTTTGTAGTTTAGGGAGCTTTGGGGAAAATAAAGGGCAAAGTCTGTTAGAACCTTGAAGTCAGCAGTAGAACTTGGTCTGCTGTATATGACCCTGAGAACTAGCAACCCATGTAGACCATCAAAGACTGCAAACAGGTCAGGTGAACTTGAACTTGTTTGTTATTGTTATGTAGGACTTAGAGCAGTGCAGTCTTTCTGCAGTTTTGGAAATGTTGCTTATCTGTGGCTATTTCGATTTCAATTAAAATGTTAAAATTGGTGGTTATTGTGTTGGATGGAGCAAAAGAGTGGATGTCCATGCCAAAGAGTTCCTATGGTTTTGGGGTTTCTATTGTAGTTTTATATCAAAAGAGTATAAATTTCTTCTGCCTGTGCTTCTTTCTTTCTTTTTTTTTTACAGCAGTTGTGTTTTTATGCTGCTGAGGTGGTCAGTTTAGTCCCGCATCAGTTCTGTTTCTAACAGTGTGACCGAGGTTTGTAATCTGGATGACCGTGGAGTGTGACCCACTCCCAAGGGCTGAGGAGAAACTGGATCACATGGATGTGGTCTCTGGATTTGGTTGGATTCTAAACTCAGCTGGTTTCTTTTCATTTAAGCTTCTTGAGTCTATAACCACGCTTCTTGAGTCTGTAACCACGTAACCTGCTTTTGGTTCCTCCGGAGTTGAATCTAAGAGGCTAGGCTTATCATCTCTTTGCTGCCTGTTTAGTGAAGGGGAAGTCCTCTGAGACCGATTCTGAAGAACCCTGACCTGATATTCAAATACTTTAGAAGAAGCCGGCGTTTTGGTTCTCTCTGTATAGAGAGTACAGAGTACACACTACATTTATTTATTTTTATTTTATTTTTATTAGTTGGAGGCTAATTACTTTACAACATTGCAGTGGTTTTTGTCATACATTGAGATGAATTAGCCATGGATTTACATGTATTCCCCATCCTGGTCCCCCCTCCCACCTCCCTCTCCACCCGATCCCTCTGGGTCTTCCCAGTGCACCAGGCCCGAGCACTTGTCTCATGCACCCAACCTGGGCTGGTGATCTGTTTCACCCTAGATAATATACATGTTTCGATGCTGTTCTCTTGAAACATCCCACCCTCGCCTTCTCCCACAGAGTCCACAAGTCTATACATCTGAGTCTCTTTTTCTGTTTTGCATATAGGGTTATCGTTACCATCTTTCTAAATTCCATATATATGTGTTAGTATACTGTAATGGTCTTTATCTTTCTGGCTTACTTTGCTCTGTATAATGGGCTCCAGTTTCATCCATCTCATTAGAACTGATTCAAATGAATTCTTTTTA